ATCTCTCTTGGGCATCTTACCGCCACTCCAGCTACCCCCTGTCCCCGGGGCAATATTCGCCCCAGCTGGGCGATGCATTGCCTCCATTTTGCGGCACTCGTTGCCGTTTGTTGCTTAATTAATGGCCGCTGCAGGCGGCGTTGCTAACGAGATGAAAGCCACGCCCAAATATAGATTAAATAAAAAAAATCAAGTGCACATGCAACAACAACAGCAATATCGGATAGGAATATATAGGAAGCGCCTTGGCGAATCTACCAAAATAAAAAATCTCCCATAAAAAAAACAAATCTAGGCAACGTCCTTGAGCCCCCCAAATATGGCCACCGTCAATAAAGCGAGTGCAACACAATTTCATCGAGAGTATTTTTATAGCCATTCAATAATTTGTTTCATTCCATATCTGAATTAAATAAAGCTCAGTTACTGAACTCAAAGAGGTCCCAATTCCAATTCCAAAGCCAAAGCCCAAACCCTCAATCAGACGGCCCCTGCGCAGAGTTCACTCATCTCTGCACAAATACTTTGCATAAGACGAAAGCCGCAGACACAAAAGCAGGCCGAAAATAGATTGCAAAAACGAAGAAATACATTGAGATCAGTCGGCATAGAAATGTTACACAAAATATGAAAGAAACCAAACAGAAATAGACAAAACAACACAAAGCAAAGCAAAATCCAATGTAAGCCAAAGCAAAGCCAAAGCCAAAAAGCCCTTTCAAATGATTCGTTCGATGGATGTGATGGGATGATATAATCCCCGAAAAAGATCGATACAAAAGGCGAATGTTAATATCGATAAATAGATACACTTTCGGTATGGAGAGCAGCAAGCAGCAACAATTGTGGCAATAGCGATGGCTAGGACAGGGCCAAGAGCCGAGCCTTGTGCAGTTGGGCTGGGACTGGGACTGGGGCTGGGACTGGGGCTGGGACTGGGGCTGGGACTGGGGCTGGGACTGTGCTGGGGGATATGGTATATCGAATCGGTTTGTATCGCTATCGAAATCAATCAGGTACGCTACGGATGCAGGTGCGTATGCTCGTACCTAGCGAGTGTGTGGAGTAGAGCAGTAGAGCAGTGTGGAGTAGAGGAGTGGAGGAGTGTGGAGTAGAGGAGTGTGGAGTAGAGGAGTGTGGCGTAGAGGAGTGTGGAGTAGGGGTTCGTATTGGGGTTCGCGTTCGTTGACATTTGTCATTTTGTGGAACAAAAGGTTCGATCAAGATTTGAAATTGTTTTGTCGCTGGTCTGGTATGGCCTGGCCTGGTCTGGTCTGGTCTGGTCGCTGGTTGACAAAAGGCCCCAGAAGCCGGCAACGCTGCTGAGGAAGATGTTCGCTTGTCGGTCTGTTTGGGGCTGGCAAACGGTACTTTAAAAATAAAACCATACCGCCGAAATATCTCTCTTCCCCTGCCCGACGGCCCCCGACTGGCCGACTAGACTGACCCTCGTCTTCCATTAGCAGCCAAAGTTCATGTGTCAAATGATGGAAAACGAAATCGAAGCGACCTGTCTGCCTCTCTGCCTCTCTCTCTCTCTCTCTCTCTCTCTCTGTCTCTCTCTATATCTCTCTTTCTCTCCCTGACGCTTTGACAAACTTTATTTATGCTTTTCTTCACGCTCGACCGTTAAGCTAACTGCACATTCGCTTTGTTTGGCTTATTGGCCGCTTATTGTTTTAGACTGTGATCTCTGATCTCTGGGCTCTGGGCCCTGGCTCGATTTGTTTTCGTTCGTCACCATCAAAGAGAATGTTTTAATTATGGCAATCGGTGCGGCGAAGAAGAAGAGGGAGGGGGGGGCCCCAGAGAGAGACCAGACTAAGTAGTCGCAGGGCGCAACTAACAAATTGATTAATGTCCCTCTTTAGTCGGACTCCCCCCCCCCACTGCCAGCCTCCAATTTTAAAGTAGTTTTCATCTGTATTCCCCATTCTTCTGCAATTCGGAACGCCTTTTGGGTCAGGAAGGTGTCGCCGATAAACAAAATGAATAACTTACACTCGACTCTTAGCCACTACTTAAATAGTTAATTGCTGTCACTAAGTAGGCGTGCGATAATGTGCCAAGAATGGGTCTTGATTGCTGGCAGGGAATCAAATTCCCACATTCTGAAAGAACTTAATCAAGAGGGGGGAGACATTGCCATCGAAGAGTGTGAAAAGGGAGGAAGGGTATTCCCCTGACTGAAAGCGAAAAACCAAAAGTGAGTATAGCAAATAGTTTTTATAATTTTTATATTTTTTTATTTATTATTTATTTTTATTTTTTTTTATTTATTTTTTTTTTATGGCTTTGGGATTACTGATAGAAAAATCGAATGGAATGCAGAATGCGAGGGAGAAAGAGAAAGGAGGTAATTCCTTTAATTAGGTTCCACAATGCCGAAAATTTGGGGAGGCACCTTATTCGATCAAAAATAAATAAATAATAAACAAATAATAATAAATAAATAAATAATAAATAAATAAAAAAAATAAATGATCAGACTCCAAGGGGCCCATAGCCCTACACATATATCAGGCAGCAGATTGTAGATACACTTACACTGTCTCTGTACACTTTACACTGACTTCAACTGAAAGCTGAAAGGTTGGTGGGAACAGACAAAATGCGTACAAGGTGCGAAATGCCGCAAGATCAAATGAAGAAGATCGCTTGAAGCGGAACTTTGTGTAGAGCCAAGAGAGCGGACATAAACCACAATCCAGTGCCATAAAACAGTGCCCTTCTGACAGCCGCTGGTGTTGCTGGAACGAACAGTGTCCTTCTCGTGTCCTTCACTCAGATTGTTATATTTTGTTGCAGCTTCCAGGCGGCTCATGGACTCAGTGTTTGATCCCAGGCAGGCTAAATGGCGGCAATCAAGAAGCTCATTGATTGACAAGAAATTCGACGAGTAAAAGCGATGGAAAGTGTCGATGAAAGTCTAAAGAATATAAAGCAGACAAAGGGAAAAGGCACTAAAACAGAAGCACTCAACAGGAGAGGAAACGGCAAAGGAAACGGCAGAGCAACGGCAGAGCAAAAGGCAGTCAAAATGAGCAGAAACAAATGGCGGAAAAAAACAAGGCAGGGAAAGGGTAGCAAAGGCAAATAAAGCTGAAGAACCATAGAAGAAAACGGAGAAATTTAATGAGCTTGAAGGCAAAGAATGGAAAAAGCGGCGAGGCCACATTCCTTGCAGTGTATTTCATTGTGGTGCAGGACATCGGACGGACATCATGCGGGGCCGTTTGGCCCCCGGGAGATGTGTCCGTTTATGGCAGCCACCAGCGTTGCTTCTGCTGCTGCTTCTTCTGTTGCTGCCACAACTGACGCTTCATTTGTTCTGCAAAAGTCGTGATTGTCCGTCCGACCATGGGAGATTTTCTCTCTCTCTCTTACTGTTTGACTCCCATAAGAGGGGACCGGTACACCACACAGGTGTGTGCGCGCTCAACTTGTGTTTAGCTGCTAAAATAGTTGACTAATTAATTTATAATGCAATTTCACTGAAGCGACAGCAGCAGCAGCAGCAGCAGCACCACTAATAGGAGCTCAAGTGAGGGGAGGGGAGGGGAGGGTGGGTGATCGCTTCCATTTGTAAATTGGAAACCGTTTTAATAGACACCACAACATGAAAGGAAGGCCATCTATCGGCAAGGTCGAAGCACTGCATACACTGTCCCTGCCACAGCCATCCAGTAGCAAGTGTGCATGTACAGTAGGACCCACTGTAAGGGTATAAGAGCAGCAGCAGCAGCAGCACCACTAGCCACCGCCTAATCATTGTTTATGATATGGTTAGCCAGCCAGTAGTCCCGTCTTAGGCCGTGCCACGTCCCAGTCGTGTCCCCCAAGTCAGTTCGTTCTCTCTGGCATTACGCATTTCCCAACTGCAGTGTGGTCTCGGGTCTCGGCTCTCGGCTCTCCCCTGCAAGGGAAATTTATGCAAATGGATATACGGCTGGCTCTGGACAGATCTCTTTAAAGCTTTTGCGCAATTATCCAAGGAGAGACCTCACCTGCTGCTGTTCTGATGCTGTTGCTGGTACTGCTGTCTCCGGCATTTGATTGAACTCAAGTGTGCCAGATGTTGGGGGGGCTGGGGGGGGACTGCACACAACAAGTGGGAGAAAGGTAGGTAGGGCTGTGGCTGTGGCTGTGGCAGAGCCAGAGCCAGAGCCAGAGGACAGTTGCATGCGCGGCAAACACGTGACAATTGCATTGCCGGTCAATTGAAATTGAAAATCAATTGGAAATTCCGATGAAACAAATGCAAGAGCCACTGGACCCAACACACAACACACTCGTGAGTGCCGTGCCACAATTTGGGCACTGTGGAGTGAAAACTACTGTCCCTGGACAGCAGCAATCATGCAGCCAAATGGGATATATCTTTGGAGTGGAAATTATTTCCGATTTTCCGATATTTTTACTATTTTTTAGTTGTTTCGAAAGATCTCGACTGTTGGGTGCACTGTGCAGACACCAGCAGACAACGGCATTTGTGCAACAGTTTCTGTCTCTAAGCCCCACCCCTTCCGCACCCCACCCAGGCCAATGGCCAAAATGTAAATCGCCCCAGAATCAAAGTGGAGTACTCGGTATCTGGTGTATTGGGTATTCTATTCTATTCTATTCTATTCTGTTGTTGTGCATTCAAATGGACGAACCCCACCAGCCCCCTCCTGCTGCCAGCTGTTGACAATTCGGTCGCCAAGGCTTTTCCTTGCAGTGGAACCGCTAGACAGCAGCAAACAGCCTCGACCGGATGAGTGGGGGAACTGAAATTGGATGTTGGAATGAGAATCGCAAATCGCGAAATGGGGATTAGGTTTTGCAATGTGGATGGAAATTAGAAGCACGCCAGGTAGGCGCAGGTGACCGATCAGCTATCGATCGATAGCTGCAACGTGATGTGGCAGACAGAAACCTGAGTCAGTGGGGGGGAAACACACACACCAGCAAAACAAAAAGAGGAAACAATGGCCCATAAAGGACGAGAGACTTAAAGCTTAATTTTGGTTTATTTTGTTGTTGTTGATTTTTGATTTAAATTAAAGTAAATAATGCTGAAACTTTCAAGGCCGGGCGATAAAATAATCCAGATTCAAATTGAATCGTTTTCACATCATATTTTGTTGGTTGGTTTGTAATTTTTTTAATTTTTTCTTTTTTTTCTGTGCTTCCCCGCCCCGTCCGATTAAGCTTTATGGGTAGCCACATAAATGTTTATGACTCGCATTATGATTCAAACCGAATCAGTGATCAGTGATCGGCGAACGCCCTTAAAGTCGCTGCCATGCAGATGGACAATGGCAGAGCCAGGAGGAGTCGAAGCGATGCGGGGCCAATGCCAATGGCCCCATTGTCGCCGAGGGCATAGTGGATGACACCGCGTTTCGTTTTGAGCACATCTGTGAGCGGATCCGAGCCCATCTCGTTCTCCATGAGGCACATCTGCATGAGATCGTCGGGCAGCTGGATGTGGAACGGGAAGCAGTACATAGCCGCGCTGTCCAGCAGCACCGTGTTGTTCTCATCCTCGCCCCGGCTCAGGCAGTTGAAACTCTTCACGTCCAGGAAGCGCATCTTTTGGCAGTTGTGCAGCGGCGAGGCCTTCATCAGCACCAGCACATAGTCCAGCGAGGCGGTCATGTACAGGGCGAATGGTTCGCCAGCCTCGATAAATGTGTCCCGGAATTTGGTGACCGCCACCAGGGGATAGTGGCCGGAGCATTTCCGCTGCAGGACCTCCTCGTGCGATTTCAAGTAGCGACAACGCTCTGGTATAAAATTTTCCATTTCCTCGGTGGCCATCAAACAGTCAAGGCAGAGAAATAGGCAGAAAACCAACAGAATTCGGTCCATTCGATTCAGCCAAAGAGAATTTATTAGTTACTATATGTGTATGCCGATATGTCCATGTGTGTTGTGTGTTTGTACATGTGTGAGTATTTGGATTTTTATATATTTTCATTAACAGATACCTGAATCTGATTAGAGCGCTTAAAAATCTACATCGGACAGTTGGCTCACAGTTGACTTGCGCCCTAGTACAGTGAGTCAGAGACAGATAGATGTGTGGGTGGCACGATACACTGAGCGAAAAAGAACCTACACTACACGGGTTCTGTCATTGAGTGCCTACGGCACATGGGGCATTGATTTAGCATGGTCTAAGATTTGCAGGAACTAAATTTGGAGTAACTACTTCAATTTAGCGGGCATTTGGTTTCCGCCAGTGTAGCCAGTGTATGGTGACTGTGTCAAGCATTCCCATGGATGCCATGGATACAATAAAAACAAAAACACTTGGATCGCATAGCTCCAATTGGCATTATTCATTTCGATGCGGTGCTGATTTGTAGGCGATGTAATTGATTCAATTATAGGCTAGCATTATTTCAATTAAGCAAGAATGATGATGCGATGCATGACATGACACGTTCGAGCCGATCTTTCAACGGTAATGAATGCGATCGAACGAACGAGCGAACGAACGAACGAACGAACGTTCGAGCGATCGATCGCCTCTGATTTGCCTGCATAGTTTTGTGCGATTAATGCAACGGCCAACTGTTCGGCTTCCTCCTCATCACATCACTCTGATTGACTTTTCCGGAAGCAGAAAAAAAATAAAAAAGAAAATATGAGAAGATTGTGATTGCATAATCCGTTCGATTCCATTCGATTGGATCTGGGATCTTGAGTGTCTTAGTCTCCACGATTATAATAGCTGGCAAATTAAATGATTTATTTGCAATGATCGCTTGGGTAAAACTAACTTTAAGTTTTACCTTTAGATATTTACTCCACATCACTTGGAAATCTCTCTAGCAAAGACATTTCCATGTCCACGTCCACAATGGTTGGCTATAAATTTAATTTAAATTAAATTTCCCATGCCCAATTTGAAGTTCTTCTTGGCTTGGCTGGATATAATGGGGGGATCATGATTTATATAGCAAATCAATTTTATTCACACTCCCCAATCCAATCCAAAATCCAAGACAATCCAATCCCCCAATCTTCCTTCCCACCCGTTGGGTTTGGGTGCGCTTCTGATGAGGCAATTTATTTATTTCTGTTTTCTGTTTGTTTCTTGTCATGTGGCCATCGGTTCTCTCTGTGTTCCGGGGAATTGGACGGACTTTAATTTAATATTGTATTTTAAAGAATATGCTCACACAAAAAAAAAAAAAGCGATGAAGATTTAACGGCATTTTGACTGTTTGTTTATGCATTTTTTTTTTTTTTTTCCGATTTTCAGTCTCTTGGTTCTTGGCTTTTTTTTTTGATGGAAATATGAATTTATTGACTTTTGTTTTGTCATTAATGGGATTTGATTTTCGGTGGCGGGGGAGGGGGTTTTAGGGCTTGTGTTCTTTTTTTTTCGTTTTTCTTTGTCAGCAGGTGGCAATTGTCATGCTCAGCCAGTGTTGTCAACAGCTAAAAGCCCTCGGACTTGCACTCCACCCAAAAACCAATGAAACTCACTCTCATAACTGATTTATGGCTTGTGCTTTGGTTCTCTCTGTGTGTGTGTGTGTGTGTGTGTGTTCAGAGTGTGTGTGTGCGGTGTGGGGAGTAACTGCTAAATTATATAGATATATCAAAATATATATGTACGTATAATCGGAAGTTGGCACTCCATTTGCGGCAAGTGCCGCCGTTCCCCATATTAATCGACGAGTCCAAGTCTGGGGTGCCCAGCAAGTCCACTTCCGTTGCGTCTCGCGTCGCATTTCCAAAATTGTGTCACGCGACGGAGTCGTACAATCAAAGTTTGCGCCCCACCCGCCCCCGCTTACCAGTTCCGGAGCAGGCTGGACTGCGTTTTGTCAGCCTTAGGTTCGGAAACAGAAGCGGAATCGATTCGATCATGCAGCCATTCAATATGCGCACATTGTGCCAGATTTTGAGGGGGGTTTCAGCTATGGACATCTATAGGGTACGGTTAACTCGAGAGGTATCTTGTACGAGTATCTGTACTTAATTTCAACAATAAGCAAAAAGTCCAAGGAACCCAAATCTTTGCCCAATCATAAGCTAAAAATTTCCAACGATCCCTCGTCATGAGTAGCACCAAAATAAGCTAAAATTAGCTCAGAAAATTAATCCCAATATGAGCTAATAATGACATCAATTAAAGCTCTGATAAATGCCCAATTCTAATCCTTATGCCTTCTAGGGTATCCTTCTAGGGTATTCACGACATCGTAACACCCTCGGAACTATTTCTGCTTTCCGCCTGTTGTTTTTTTTTTGTAGTTTTCTTTCAATAGTTTATAATCAATTTTTGGAATCCATCGGCATATTGTTTATTGCACTTGGCGGCTTACTGGCTTTTGTTTTAGTTGTCTTTATTTTGGTTGATCCACGACAATGTCGCGATGGCTATGGCTCGATGGCGACCTTCCAATGGTCAATGGTATTGGATGGAGTTCGTTGGCCACTTGGCTGGCGGCGATTTTTTTTTTTTTTTTTTGGGGGGGTTTTGTTTCGTTTTTCATTTAGTTTTGGTTGGATTTTCGGTTGGTTGGTTGGTTTGGTTTGGTTGCTTCTCTGATGGTTGGTTGGTTTGCTTGGCTTTTTGCTGGCTGATTGGATACGCGGTGAAACTGGCGAGAACCGTTAAACTTTTGCCCCTTTTGCTTTGACACCTGACACTTGACACATGACACCTGGACACAGGCGACGACAGAGCAGCCTTGGGCGCCACACGCTCTGTTGTTTGGTATTGATATTCGGCTTTGGATTCTTGCTTCATTAATCGCTCGCAATTAAGCGCCACTTTAGAGCCAGATTCACACTTTGTTCACACACTTTCGCATCAGATTCAGCCTTTCATTTCCACATCCAGCATTGGGCCACTCCACCATCTCTGTCTTCTTTTTTGGTTGTCGAATGCATTCAATCAACGCAATTGATTGATGTGTCGCTTTGATGTTGTCATTGTTGTTGGCTTGGCACGTGTCGAGCTTCTCTTTTTGTGTGCTTTGTGCCTCCACATTCCATGATCCTAACGGATATGGAAAACCAGTTGATCTTTTTTAGCCCAGTCTAAGCCGAGATTAATGGCAGATCAGAAGATCAGATCAGATCAGCAGCAGGGGTAGGAATGGAAAAGGGAAAATGCTTTTCTTGGATGAGTCTATGTTTATTGAATGAAGCTGCAATGGGGATCGTTTTATCATCTTTAAGAATGGGTTAGATTTCCGTGACAAATGTCTGAATAAAAAAAAAAAATTGTAAAGAGTAGCGAGAGCAGGTGCGTTTTTAGTGGGTGAGGTAACTCCAAGTCCCACACTTATCGGCTTTTAAGTTTTCGCCCCCGTTCCTACATTGTGGTGGAAAACAGCCGGTTGGTCAGCGTATAATCATTGACGAATAAGTTTCATGCGAAAGATGGCTCCAAACTTCTGTATTAACCAACCCCCCACCCCCTCCGCCGTGTGTGTTACCCCTCCAAAACCAATAGCCGGATGACTTGGCAGCAGCAACAGCCAACAACCAACCACTCACATGTGTATGTACATATATATGTAGGTACTTTATATAACTATGAGCGTATATTTATTTAGTAGTAGTATCTTTCCATCCACCTTACGGCCGGCTAGTCGGCTAGTCGGGTAGGCGCACTTTAATCTGGTTCTGCGCACTGAGCGCATTAATTATGCGTTCCAAAGCGATGTCTGGAATATACTTCATACATATACCCGTTCGTACGATTACAAGTATATTCTTTTTGTTTGTTTGTTTCTTAGTTTTCAGTTTTTGTTGGCTGGCTCTTCCTTCCACTGGGCTGTGTATGAAATTCTTGGCACGAGTTGGTTAATTAATTTAATTAATGTTTTACCAAAGCAACGCCGGCGCTGAGCACACCCCCCGCACCCTCCCGTCCAACACACGCTGCTGAGCAGGGAGTACTATCCCCATACCCCCTGCCCAAATATCTAACTCGTTCCCCCGTCGATCTTTCGTTGTGGCTTCTAACGGTAGCACGAATATTAAAGGCACAAGAAAAAAAAAATAAAAATTAAATGCCACACACAAACACACACACACTCACACACCTAAAGGGATATACTGATGCAAGAGAAAGAGTGAGAGAGAGAGAGAGAGAGATTCAGATATAGATATAGTCTAGTTTATGATCACTCTTTCCCTCCGTGTCTTGCTGTGGCTACTTTTTCCACCAACAACAACAAAAATTATTCAAATTTCATTTCGATTTTCAATAATTCAACGGCGTCTTTTGGGGGCCCAATTTTATTTTTTTATATTCAATTAAAGCTTGTTTATATCAACAACAACCATAAAACTCTTATCATTTCCAGCTGCCGCTTGCATTTCTAATGAAAATTTATGGAACTTCCCGCTCTCACACACTCGTTTTCACGTTGATTTTTTTTACGTTTTTAACGTTTTCTGTCATTTTGAATTTTTCAAATTGGAAATTCTTTTCTTTTTGACTGACATTAAAAGTTGTTCTGCGATCCTTATCTGACCAGGGAATATTATTATTTGTTTTCCTTTTCTTTTGTTTTTTGGTTTTGTTTAAGAAGCTTTAACTTTATTCTGAGCCGGTTCTAGGGCAGCCAGATCGTAGATGGAAGAGAAATTCCCACTCGTAAAAATTGCGATTTGTTGTTTCGATGCCACACAAAAATAAAATATCCCCATAAAAATCCCAAATGCATTAAGGGTTTAGAGGTGAAGCGATAGTGGGGCAGTACTGTGGGATCACTGTGGATTAAACTCAAACTCAAATTTTGCAGCAACAGATCAATTTTTATGCATGCTGCAGACGCCTCTGCTGCTCCTTTGCTCATTTTGCAATTACATATTTTGCTCAATCTTCTGCCACAATTTTTGCTGATCTGATTTTCAGTGTAGTTTTCATTTCCTTTGCTGTTTTTGTCCTCCTGCTGCTGCAGTTGTAATTCCACCCTTTAAGTGAGTGGGATCAATGCATTTTGTTTTCGGCTTTTACTGAG